GCGTGGTTCCCATTGCTATAGCCTGGTTCATAATGGTATTTTACAGTGCTGTAACTTGCTGCATTGGAAAGAAAGAGGGTTTCACACCCGAGCCAGAAAGTTACGGGGCTGTAAAGTGCCAGTGTAGACTTGACCTAACTTCCTAGGCTTTCTCCGCATGATAGGTAGAATTATCAGTTTGTGAATGCTCGAAGAGGCTTGGCACTTTAAACAGAGAGGCAAGAAGAATCACCCGTGCTGTGCTCCTAATACTGACTGTCTAGTGAAAGTCAGTTGCTAACAGATCATGGAACATCTACCTGCAGGGGTACAGGCTTTAGGCCTACAGAAAGGCAGTCGTCCTAACATGGAGTTCAGTTTCATAAGGCACAAGCAATACATGTCTCTATGAAGAGAAAGACATACTATAGGAAATAGCCTGTGGTGGATGCTAATAGCTAATGCAGCTCCAGCCATTAGAAGGCAAAGTAGGGAAAACACTTCAGCCAGAGCTGTGCAGTTTCATGGAATACTGGCAATTAAAAATATGGCCTGCTTTTTAGCTAATGAAAGGACATTTTGCACCACATGGTTAACAGAGAGGGGGCCTAAAGTTAGGGGGCTGTCTACAGGTTGACCACCATCCCAGGGAAGGAGTATTTCATTGGTGCACAGCTTCTCTGCCACATCTCTCCTGCTATAGGATCTGTAGTCACAGGAAGGGTTGCGGGGGAAACTTGACCAGTCCAAAAGCCAAATGGCCTCCTTAGCTACCCCACTTTACACCTGTTGTTTGGTGTCTTACAAAGCCAGCCCAAGATCAGGAATGCAATGATGGAATAAAGCTAGTCTGGGATTCCCTCCTGTGACCTGTGCCATTACCCATAGCAGAGGATTTAGCCATGTATATATTGAAAATACATTTCCTCGGTGCAACGTCTCAATAAAACTGATATAATTTTACCATTTCCCTTTATTTTCCTCCATTGATGTGGGCATGTTTTTCACTGCAATCAGCTGGGCCAGTGAACAAAACAACGAGGAGTCCTGTGGCACCTTATAGACTACCAGATTTATTGGAGCATAACCTTTCGTGGGCAACGACCCACTTCGTCAAATGCATCCAACGAAGTGGGTTTTTGCCCATGAAAGCTTATGCTCCAATAAATCTGTTAGTCTATAAGGGTACGTCTAACCTACAGGGCTCCGTCGACGGAGCCATGTAGATTTGTTGTTTTGGCAAAGTCAAATGAAGCCGCGATTTAAATGATCGCGGCTTCATTTAAATTTACATGGCTGCCGCGCTGAGCCGACAAACAGCTGATCAGCTGTTCGTCCGCTCAGCGCGCTAGTCTGGACGCTCCCCTGTCGACATCAAAGCCCTTTGTCGGCAGCCCCAGTAAACCTCATCCCACGAGGAATAATGGGGCTGCCGACAAAGGGCTTTGATGTCGGCAGGGGAGTGTCCAGACTAGCGCGCTGAGCGGACGAACAGCTGATCAGCTGTTTGTCGGCTCAGCGCGGCAGCCATGTAAATTTAAATGAAGCCGCGATCATTTAAATCGCGGCTTCATTTGACTTTGCCTATGTGTTTAATCTACATGCCTCTGACGACAGAGGCATGTAGTCTAGACACAGCCTAAGATGCCACAGGACTTTTCGTCGCTTTTGCAGATTTAGACTAACATGGCTACCCCTCTGCTACTGAACAAAATAACTGTTTTATTTCAATTTCTTTCAGGATGTTTTTTCTAGCTTTCCCATGCTATCTCCAAACTACAATATTTGGGTTTCCACAGGGCACGGGAATGTTTTTAGGCAAACAAGCATTGTCTTCGTTCACATTTTCAAAACAATTTCAGGACAATATTTTTGGAAGATTAAATGCTTTTACAAATATTTTGTTACAGAACATAATATGTTTGTTGTTGAATGGCGTGACAGCACCAGAATCAGGCATGTTTCACCAAGGTTTTGAGAATTGCACTTTGTGAACATGAGAGGACAAAAGCCCAGCAACTCAATAGTTGTAGTTTCAAGTCTAAAACATCAACCAGCAGAGCTCATGTTTCCAGGGCTGATTCTCTCATCCTATTAGTCTTTATGTCGAGGTAGTGCCTGGAAGCCCCAGTGAATGGGCCAAGACCCAGTATGCTACAGGCTTTCGTGGGCCAGACCCACTTCCTCATGCCAGAAAATTGGCATGACCATTATATATATATATACACACACACACACACCATGGTATATGCCAATTTTCTTCCACAATTTGACCTGAGGAAGTGGATCTGGCCCACGAAAGCTCATCACCTAATAAACCATCTTGTTAGTCTTTAAAGTGCTGCATTGTCCTGTCTTTTGTTTTAGCAAGACCAGGCGAACACAGCTACATCTCTGTTACTATACTACAGGCTGTGCAAGCACAGACCAAAAAGACCACCCATCCCACAGACCTTACAATCTTAGCAATGAGCTCTTAAGTTTACATTTTTCAAAAATATATAAAGAACTGGAGCTTGGAGCTTGGCTAGTCAGTATGATAATTAATCAACTCAAAGAGCGAGGATGTTTCCAGGTATTAACTAGACAGCACGTGCTGACTTTGAGAGCACGTGGCCGGCTGCATGTTTTTATGAGTGTTGCTGTGGAGGGGAATACTGCCTAAGGAAAGAGGGAATATGGGCCATGAGTTACAGCAGTAGCATAGGAACAGAGCGGCCTGGCTGAAATCCCTAATGTGCCAGATGAGGACAGTGAACTGCCCAGACATTGTGGGAACAGCGGCCAGGTAATTACCTTAGATAGCTGTACTGTGCTATGGGCGCTTGTTTGCTTTTCACATTGATTATAGCCAATTTGAGCGTTGTCAGGAGCTGCCTGGAGTAAGAGAGCGGGGCCTGGTGTGGTGCTAGGTTCCTATACTGCTGTGAGGCGCTGGCATGGTGACGTGCTGGTACCCGAGCAGTCTGGGGGAGGAGGGAGCGGTGCCAAGGCAGTGCCAGGCCGCGGGAGGCTTGGAGTGAGCAGCCCCTCACCTGGGGCTAGATCCTGCGTGTGCTGGGACCAGGCTGTGTGGCTGGAGCCAGGCCAGGATGGCTCAAGGGGGGGAGAGGGCAGCATGGGAGTGGGCCAGGCCGCGGGAGGCTTGGAGTGAGCAGCCCCTCACCTGGGGCTAGATCCTGCGTGTGCTGGGCTCAGGCTTTGTGGCTGGAGCCAGGCCAGGATGGCTCAAGGGGGGGAG